AGTTGAGCTGGACTATTACTTTTCCATATATACTGGTCATAGTTGAAACAATAATATTGATGTTTGCTAACAATATGGTCAAGAACAACATGATTTATAGGGTCAACCTTATAAGCTTTATTGGTTGAATTGCTGCTATAATCAAATTTGTGATTTGTATCTCCAAGAGAACTGAACAGGGTCCTTGTGGTATATTTGGATCCAACTTCTCATCTATTGTCTGGCTCAGGTGAACAACATTTAAGATAACTTAAGCAGGCAAGTACTTAACTATTGCAAACATGGCCAATGCATAGAAATTTTTTCACAGTAGAAAAAGAAATCGGGTTGAAACTTATAATATATGAAGTTTCAAAACCGTGTTGTTAATGTGGGTGGGCTAATCCCCTGAGCTCATTGTTTTGTTGGACACAGAAATAATATTTGACATTTGTGATCGTGTGGGTGCCATGTATCCTTCAATTAAATTTGTGTGAGTGCAGAGTCCATGAATGAAGCAAAGGTGCAAAAAAGTTCAAGAAATGTGTGCAAGGCCATTAAAAGGATCAATTTTGTACAAGAATATGCATACTAATGATCATTATGAACGTGCAATCCTTTTATTGATGCAGATTGGTTATTCACTCGTGCAAATAAGAGAACTGCCTTGAAATACTGCATGTCTGGTGGAGAGAACATTATATTCTTAATTTGTATTTAAGAAACAACTTGTACTTGCAACATGGTACTGAGCAGTTTTCATTCCTTCTTGGTCTGAACTCTCCTTGGGGAAGCAAGGCATTCTATGATGGTACCAAACACCAAGTGAATCATTACACAATGAGGCTTGTATTCCTTATATGAAGCTATATTGGATTGACTTGTATCCCCTTCAGCATTGAAGACACTGGCTAAATATATAAAAAATGACCATGTCTCATTCGTTATGTTGTATTGAGTCGGCAGTGAAGCATAAATTATTATTATTTGTATAATATTTAGTCTGTCCAGTGGCTGCGATGTGGAAAGAATACAAATGCTAATCTTATGCAGAATTTTAGGTTCTCATTATTATTAATAGATGACTGTCATAAGAGGAAGATTAGACTGCATATTCCTGTCTTTCTTCTAACAATATATCACTATCAGAATGTGCTGACTGTAAGGATGTGTGATTTTAATGACCAATTAAAACTCCAACTGTATTCCGCTTAATGCTGATTGAGCCTTCTTTCTTCTATTCACCATGTGGCATTAAAAGGTTGCGTGGGCCATCCAATCACTTCTATGGCTATCAATTCTTTCTTTCTAAACCATGCCTTATGTTTTGACAGTATATAAAGCATTTAGCTTTCAAGATAGCAAAACGTGGCTGGAAAGTTGTTGTGAGCAATCATCGGGGGCTTGGGGGCACATCAATTACTGTGAGTAATCCCTATATCAAAAATTACATTTGATTTCTTCCATTACATTACGTATAATGGGCAAAATACTAGATTCTGGTGGACAATATTTTCTCATCTGTCAATTGGTGATGCAAGTTATGTAAATTATAGTACTTAGAAGTTCTTAACAGGGGATTCATCCATGACTATAACAATATTTACAAAAAGAAGTTACAATTACAACTGGTAGATTTTCACTTGCCCTTTCAGTGATTCCCCAATATGTGCAGGAGAGGTGGTGGGCAGTAAAGTTGTCTAATTTGATTTAAGTCAGATTTACACGTGCCTAACAAATGATGAGATTTTTAGATAATGGAATCAAAGCACAAAAAATAATTATTTCTTGCTGATTTGGTTAAAGATATGCTTGCCATTATAGCATTGCGCCCATTTCTTTGGTTCACAAGTCATGTTATGAGGATGTGGTTTTAAAGTTGGGCAGCAGTTACTCCTCAAGCTTCTTCTTGTTGTTGTTGTTGTTTATAGTATTTTGATGTTTTGGACCTAATTTTCACCTTTTTTTCTTCTCATTCTTATAGTATCTTCTCTTTATATATCTATCAATATAAGATTTTTTTTTTTAAAAAAAAACTGAATAAAAAATTCAGAAAAATGGGGGAATACATGAATGAGAAAATGTGATATTCTAATAATAATATCTTAGCAATTCTTTTTCATATTGGTTGTGCATGCACTTGTCAAAACATGCATTGCAATGGATATCGTTTCCAAAAAACAGTGTTCTTGTGTCATAGAAGATACACTCTATTTTAAAGAAATGTATTTGTAAATATATACATATATAGATATATAAATATATAGTATCCAAAAGAAATATTATTTCAATCCATTTATCATTTCGTGTTAGGTGTGTTTGCGACAAAGATCAAAAGCAAGACAACCCAATGTTTTGGCAACAAATATCAAAATATAGCTAGAGTTTTGTATATTTGTGATCACTCGTTCATTGTATTTGTGATCAAACTAGAAAGGAAAAACTAATAGAGGAAACCAAGGTGTTCCATTGTTTTTGGTTGAAAAAAATTACTGCGAAATGATACCGTATTTGTGTCTAGACTTTAGAGTACAAAATGTGTATTGCATATTTTAATTTTAATTTTTAATTTTTAATTTTTTTTATATGGAACCAAAATTGCAAGATGTTAATATAATATGGAAAATACATCAAAAAGGGTTGATAAGAAATCCAACCAAGAAAATTTAAAATACAAAAAAAAAAAAGAAGAAGAAATACATTAGACCTATAAATCACACAAAACTATCCATCCCACCAAAATAAAAAAGAGTGAAATCCCTTTTAAAGTTTCTTTTATCTTCAAAATTTGATCGGAGTAATGGACTTGACGACAAGATTTCTTCTCATTGCATGTGGTCCACAAAATGCATTAGTTGCAACACTCCCCTTAATGCATTTTTTGGATTACTTCGATCAAATTTTGAAGATAAAATAATATTTCTTTGGTTAGTGCTTTTGTGAGAATGTCAGCCCATTGATCTTTAGTCTTGTGGTACTTCAACCGTATCTCTTTATTCTTTACTGTTTTTTTATAAGAAACAAAACTCTTGTATTAATTAAAAATGATGAAGTACAACAAAAAAAGATCGAATAAGAAATCCAATCAATATAGGGATAAAAATAGAAAATTAAAGAAATAATAAAAGGAAGCATATAAATCATACGAAGCTTGCTATCCCGATTGAATAACAAAAAGCGGAATTTCTTTGAAAGCCTTTGAAATTGAAGCTTAAAAAGATGCTAAGAAGTGAATACAATTTCATAGTCCATCCACACGCTCATTTCGGTCCACAAAATTCTAGTGTTATGTTGCTTCCAAATAACCCAACAAATAGTGATGATAGCAAAGTTCCAAAGAGTAACACTCCTATCAAATCTCTCAAATCCTTTCACATCTTTTGCAAACAAGAAAGTAGATGTGGTAGGGATCACCCAACTCAAAATCGCCACACTATACAAGTGATGCCACAAATTTAGAGCCACAGGGCAATGAAAAAAACATGATCAACACTGTCAACATTACCTTTACAAATGACACCACTGAGGAGAAAGACATATATGAGGCCTCTTTTTTTAATCATGTCATTAGTATTAATCTTACCATGATCAACTGAGCAACTGTGTATGCAAAAGTTTGCACATTTATTTTAGCATTCCAATTCATTAGCGCAAGGAAAAACGAAGGATATGAATTTTCATCCAACAAAAAATTAGAGAAAGATCTACGCAATAAAACTCTAGAAGACTCCTACATCCACCTCTCTATTCTCAACTTTCTCAAATAAAATGGTGCTTGATGAAAATGTGTTTTGGTCTCTCATGGCTGACAGATTCATTGCCATAGGAATAGTAGATTTGTTATCGCAATATATCTTTGAACCTTATTCTTACAGTTTCGTTGCTTGTGATGTCGTCTTTGGGTAACTGATAGTTATTTTTTGGAAGACCATGAAAATACATCTGATCCAAGCATAAATACAAAGCCTGACGTACTCTACTGGTTGTCTAATGATCCAACCCAATTGCATCATTGTACCCAATTAGCTTTGGGTCTTTGGTTTATTTTGTCAAAAAATTCATAATCAAGCGTTCATTGCAAATATCATAGAACTCTCTTTGCTACTCCAAGATGAAATTGAATTGGACTTTGCATGAACCTAGATAAGAGACTTGTAAAGAACATGATATCTAAACTTGTAGATGTAAGATATAGGAGACTTTTGATTAAACTATGATATGTTGAAGGGTGGATCTTTGTTGCTCCATCTTCTTTTATCAAGTTTTCATTACTTTGTAAAGGAGTAGATGCTAACTTGCATCTGAACATTCTAAATCTTTGAGCAAATTTTCAGCTTATTTTCGTTGAAAAATAAAAATTCCAGTGTCTCCTCGTTATATCTCAATTTTCAAAAAATAATGCATTAGGCCCAGATCATTTATTTGACAAGTCTTCAGTATCTCAGTTCTGAATTCTTGTATCATCTCTTTACTGCATTCAGTGAACACTAAATCATCAACATATAAAGAGACAATTAAAATATTTGATGTACCTCTTGTCTTGACATATAAAGTAGCTAAATTACACTTTTGTGAATCCCATATCTCACTTTTGTGAAACCCACGTCTTGTCAAGATTTTATCTTGCACAATTTTATTAGACTTGACAAATCTATCATGAAAAGGCAAGCAAGAGATCTCTCAGCAGACAAAAGGAACCAACACAGATTCTTCAACAAAGAAAGCCATCATTCTCTCCATAGCAACTACATCAAAGCTCAAAAACCCCACCTTCATTGCACCAATTGAGAAACCACACAAAAATTGGTGACAAAAAGTAAGAAATTTTAGATCGGATATTGTATGATACAGTGAAAAAACGATACAACTCAACGTATCACATATCATAAGATGCTATCAACCACAAACATTTTATTCCTGTTAGTCATATGCTTCATTCGCATTTATTTACACATCAGATATTGCGTGAACTATCTCTGTATCTGCTTCTTACGTATTCTTTTGTTAATGTTTTTGGGCAGTCTGATTGCTTGTATAATGCTGGATGGACAGAGGATATACGTAAAGTCATTGACCATCTTCACTGTCAATACCCTGAAGCCCCTCTATTTCTAGTTGGAACTAGCATTGGTGCAAATATTCTGGTAAATAGGTTGTACACGCCTGTATTTTGTATTTCTTTTGAGGGACCCAGAGCTTAAAATCTCACTTCTTAATGATAGTATAGAGGATCCTCATGAAGACAGATGACGTCATGTGTAATATTGTAATTATGCATGCACCAAGTGCATTCTGAATGATAAGACAGGTGTCGAATGTCATTATCTGACCTAGGCATTTGTTGTGCTCCTGCACGTTGCAATGATTGCAAATATGGGATTAAAAGCACCAGATTATGGCAGTACTCCTTCCTGTTTCATCTTTTCCGATTTTATATCATGCCAGCAAGTTTGGGTATGCTATTGCAATTGGATATTTGAAGTACCAAATTATGATAGTACTCCTTATTAGTTCCTCCGTGTGGTATGTGAAACTAGAATGACACACAACCAAGGGACAACCAAGCAATTGTTCCTCTGTTGTTGTTTTACATGTCACACTTCCAGCGTGATTCCGAATATGCACCAGCCAGCTTCCTCTTTACCTTTTTTTCAAGGTTACTCATGCTTTTCAAAGTAGTAACGACTCTCGTGCGTGCAAAATTGCAATGATTTGCATTTAAATGCATGGAAAGTCCTCATGGTCTTGCAGAATCTCCTGGACTTTATTCTCTGGACATAATTTTGAGCACAATGCCAGCCAGGTTCCTGCTAAGTACCTCTCCTTCAGGCTGAACAGCATTCAGATGCCACGAAATAGCATATCATGCCACAGAATAGCCTGACACCTCAACTGACTATTATTTTCATGTATACATTTTTGTTCTATCAAATCCCTTAGTTGCTAAGCAGTTTTTATTTACAAAAAGATCTGGATTATTTGTTGGAGGTTGACAAAAGATTCCATTCAATTAGATGAACCAAATTTCTAGACTTAGCCATAGGCTTTTTTGTGAATCCATAGATAGTTAATAGTTAATACCCATGTACTGATTTTCTCATTGTGGAAGCTTTTATTAATCAGAATTAGTTCTTCAGGTAAAATTTCTTGGCGAGGATGGGGTTAACATCCCTGTTATTGGGGCTGCAGCTATCTGTTCTCCTTGGGACCTTCTGGTTGGTACTTTGACAAATATTCTCTTATAAATAGTACTTGGGTAAATATTATGCGATTGTTTGTTGCCTCTGTAGTATAAACTAAATTTCTCACTGGCATACAACTATATCTTCACTAGAGTCTCTTCTTCTGCCAAATTTATTTTGTTGTGCTATTTGAGATTTCTTATTTACTCACACCCCGTTATAGGTTTTCTTCCCTAATATTCCTCATTTTAATCTTCCTCAAGAAGTTAATTGTTTCCTTTTTTTGTTCATGTGTCGAGATTCTGATAGTTTGTGTATTTCTTGCCTTACAAATTGCCTGTGCACCTATCATGTAGAAAAATTGCTCCCTTTGGATTCCTTAGCCTTGGTGCCATGGATTTGACGCTGGAGCATTCACAAAAGACAAATAAAAAAAATTGATAAGGGAAATGGAAGCCAGAGGCTCAACGGGGTCGGAAAATGCTTACCCAGGCCATCTTGGTTTGAGGGAAGGCCAAAAAAATAGAATTAAAAATCAAAAATTCTTTGTCTACTCATTTTTGCCACTAATTAATTTTGTCTTATGTGGTATCTTTATTGGAGTGAGGTGTTTTAAGATAGGGTTTAGGGCAACCTCAAAATAATGCTATCTGGTACAGGGCTAGAATTGTGTTGATTTTGTAATCTTTTTAACTTTAATCTTCCAAACCACATACGTATCTCAAGGGTTGACCTAGAGCAGATAGTTTTGGAGGAATTTTGTTTGGAGAAGTGAGCCACTACCTTGGTGATAGAGAGAACAAAGAGTTAATTCATTGTAAATGTCGCTACTTAATGTTTTCTTTGTCCTGCTACTTCACCAGAAGCTTCCACTTTCCCGTATCCACTCAAAGAAGACTTCTGCTCTCTCTTTGAGTGTGTTTTTTGGACGAGATCTATCAATTGTTCTAGTGGATTTTCTCCTGATCTGTCATACCTAGGGCTTCATCTTGTTGCCATAACGTCATTTGAAGCTTTTGGACTAAAGATTTGGAAGTGCGGTACTACCTAATTTTGGGCTTGTAGTTAGCACAAATTTGATTTATTTTCTGCACTTTTTAGCTTGTTCTATAGGTGTTTGATTGGGTGAATGTTGTGTTCAGAATTGGCTTGAGACTTCTATTGTATTTCTTCGATTGGACTTGTGTTGAAACTTTGAAGAATATAGTTATTGTTGAAATGTATCCACCTACTGTATTCATGTGCATGTAGTTATCACCTCACTGCCTATCTTTTAGGTATTTGAGAAAGTTCCATCCTTGGGCGCCTTGTTCTACCATTGGGTGCCTAATATTTGGTTTTGATGGTTAGGTAAAGAGCCTTATGTAGAGGAAACACAAAATTACAAGGGAAGATAGTGTGCCTATTTGTCATGAGGGAGAACGTGAGAATAAGTCTTTTTTGGATTGTTCAGATAATGGTTCAAGTGATTGGGCTTGTCCACCAACTTATGACAAGTTCCTAAAGATTCCAGTTTGTTTGAAGGTGATTCTGATTTCTGAGGATATGGTTGCTCAAGGAGAGGGATTTGATTAAAAAGCACAACTGGTGCTCAATGAATGGCTCAAAAGAGTAGATATAGCCATTGGTGGTGTCACTGATATTTTTGGTTAGTTTATAATGGATGCTTTGGAATTGCCACCAGTATTTGATGAACATCAGGAGATGGATTTAATTTTAGGTGGCGATTATGTTGTGCATGGTCGATATATGCGACAAAATTCCTTCAAGTGCTATGGCTACTGATGATGATGTGTTATATCTGTTTTCCTGTGGGATGATGGTAAATTATATTTGGATAGATTTTATGGAATGAGTCACTTCGATGTGAGCATAAGGCTATAAGGTTGGTATTTTGGTTATTGTCTGATAGAATTCAATAGGCATTAGCATGTAGTGATGATAACATATATTCTAACTTTTTTTTGCCTATTTGGACAAGTGATGCACGAGCTAACAACATGATTTCATTGTGCAACATTTTTTGTGTGGAAAGTGATGTCTTCTTGGATAACATGTGGAGGACACCAAGAAGGAAAGGTTGGCTGCCACATTTTGGTGTAGAGAACAAAGAGAAAATCAAATGTGGAGGTCGTTGATCACATTTTTCCATCATGCCCCTTGGAAATTTCATTGTTTTTTTCCGCAACAAAGAAGACAATGCCTCTACTTTGTTTTGAGCATGAATAGTTGGTGAGATCTATTGGTGTTTTGGTGGATTTTATCTTGATCTTGAGAATCCATGGCTATATCTTTGTACTAAATGATTATCAGAAGCGTTTGAACCAAAGATTTGCAACGTTGGATCTAGTTAAGCTTGGGCATATTTTTAGCACAATTTTATCACTGTATTTCGACAATTAGACTCGTGTTGAAATTTGGTGAAATATTTGTTTTACTGAATTATATGTGCCTTCTTGACTCCCATGCGTCTGGCCCCAACCATGGCGATAACGATACACCTTATACTTAACTACAAGTCTCAGGTTCGACTTGAATACGAATCAGTTGAATAGGCTAAACTGTGAGTCAACTCTGGCTAAAATCAGTTGAATCGTCACTGACATGGCCGATTGATCAAGGAATTGCAGAGATCGGAAAGAGCAAACAGAAAACCGATAGAAACAGGGGCAGACAATAAAGGAAAACCAACGACCATTACACAGGAAAGAGCAAATAAAACTTAGATAAGATCATACAACAAGGAGAAGAAATTGAAAGCATAACTGCAAAATTGAAGTCACTTCGAGTCTTCCTTTTCTTCTTCTTTGGATCCGAAGTTGTCTTCTTTGTCATTCTGTTCGTCTGCTACATCTTTTTGGTTATTGCACGCCTACACCTTTCTCCAATTCTTTCTTTTTCGCTTTTTACATCTAGACAAGCAAATAGGATGGGCTTGGTCTGGCCTGGGCTGGCAACCTTTTTATTTTAGTTTTTCCTTTATGTGGACGTGGACAGTGGACTGATACTGGTAGTGAGCTACTATTTTCTTAAATATACCCTCTTTCCTCTTTCTTTCTTCTTTAACTTTTTTCGTCTAACAATTGAGTCTACAACAAGCGGCAAAACATTTTTTTTTCCCATTCTCTGGTTGGCGTTGGGCAAATTGTCATTGCTTAATTGCTGAATTCTTTAGTTTGAAATTACTCAATTAAAATTCTTTGGTTGATTTAGTAGGGAAATGTGAACACTGATGATGCTAAATATTTCCGGTAACACCCCTATATTTCATTTTGTTGTGATTAACATGCTAGGCAATCTATTATGGACATATCTAGCATGCTAGGCAATTTATAATTTTTTGGACCTTTTATCTAGCATTTTGTGCATATCGTCCGATACCGTTCCGTGACGCCATGACCGATGTATTTCAGTGTCTTCCAGGTCGATGACTGATTCCCCGACCTTGAACCATGTGTGTGTCTTGTTGCCATTGTCCTGCATCACTATTATTAGAACAATGCCTATGGAAACGGCTAGAAAGTTATGCACAGAGATTATTCTCTTTTCACTCTCCTAGTTATCTACACCCTCTTCTTTCTTGTGAATCAAATAGCTGCGTCAACTTAATAAATATTTAAGAAAATTTTGAATTAACTATTAATCCAATGGTCATGACATTGCCCCTATTTTCCAAATTGAACTCTTGATGGCTTATAATAAAGTAAGAAGATCATAGTCCCTCATGGCTTGAGGCTGCTAGTGGTTCTGTATATGCTACAATCTTAGAAAAGGTTACTCGCTCTTATGCTCTAAAGCTGGTATCTCTTTCCCTTTTATGTTTTCAGATAGGTGACAGGTTTATTAGCCGTAGGCTTGTGCAGAAATTCTATGGCAAAGCTCTAACAACTGGCTTAAAAGGTTACGCCCAATTGTATGTCCCCATTCCTTTCTATTAAGTCTTTTGACGTTAAGTTTTGTCCGATTGTCTTACTTCTTTATTTGGTAGCCCTATGTGTAACTCCCTTTGGTTGCTGCAAACAATGCTCATTTTATTATGTGCTGTAATGTCCAGAGTTAACAGTCTTTTTACATGATCAAATCTCATTTTCCTGTAGGCACCAGCCCATCTTTTCTCGTCTTGCAGATTGGGAAGGCATTGAAAAGGTGTCCTATGTTGCTTATTTATATCTGGCAATTACATTATCTTTTTGGCTAAATCTAGCACATTAAAATACAAGAAATATTTTTAAGAGCTATAATAGTATCACTAACTTATAAGATGTTCCTAGTTTTGAGTTGTAAAAACAATTGCAATTGGATGACATTTTCATTTAGCAATTTGTCTTGCCCCCTGCTCTGTTGTTTTTGTTTCCCAACATTTTAAGTAGTGAATATTGGAAAATAAACAAAAGATGGATATTGGAGAGATTGCTTCACTAAGTGGCAACCTTGTGTTTCCTTTTTCTCTTTCGGGTAAAGATACTAGGTAACTTGATATAAATTAAAAAGGAGTAGAAGGACAAGAGATCATTCAGTCTTGGATATAAGATACACCAGAACTGCAAAGTTCAAAAAAAGGGAGAGAGAGAGTCAGTCAACCTTAAGAAAAAGCTCAAGAAGGATAGCCACGCCTCGTATCTGCATTCCAAGAAGTCCTGCATTGAGGTTATATAGCATACTTGACACAGGCTTTATGCATTTAATATTATATAAAGAATATTGCTGATGATTTATGCTTTAATTGGAAGAAGATCCATTACCAAAATTTTGCTTCTTCATTAACGTGGTCTTCTGGTTCTCTCCTGCAGTCGTGTTCAGTTCGAGACTTCGACAATTATGCTACTCGCCTTGTTGGAAAATTTGAGGTGATAATCTTCGACTTTTTTCCCAGAATTTCCCCCTGAATCACTGAAGTCATTGTCCTGTTTTCCTAGACTGTGGATACATATTACAGGCGGTGTAGCAGTGCTGGTTTTGTAGGAAATGTAATGGTACCACTACTCTGCATCAGTGCTATAGATGATCCAGTCTGTACAAGGGAAGCCATTCCATGGGATGAATGCAGGTAAGACATCCTTTCGGTTTCCTCCTTAAACGTTCATTGTATTTATTCAATCTAGTTTGCATTTCAATCACTCTAATGGTAAAACCACTAAATCATGTTTAGGAAGAAATATTGGGTTAGTATTTGTTAGAGCTTGTCCCACATAGGTGTAATAATACCCACCAAACAAGTATATGGACCTTGATTTTGAGTTGGATGTTAACATTGTATCAGAACTGGGATATGGGAGAATTGGACAAGACTCTCCATTTCTAGGTGATTGGTTCTGTTCTGCTGCAAGTGCACTTGACTATACTTTGATCCTGTGTGTTTGGATGTTCAATATAGCTCTCCACTTGCGAGTGGGGTTGCATGTGGGGTAGTTAGAGCTTGTCCCTCAGTAGTAACAACCCAAGTTTCTCCACTCATTTGCTAATTGGTTTTGAATTGAATGCGTCAACAATTTTCAAACAAATAACCATGAGTTTTTAATATTTGAAGAATTATGTATCGTACCATAGATTCATCAATATTGGTTTTGGATTTGATAAAGACTCATTATAGGAAGAATTCCATTCCAGCCTCTGAAATTGTTGTGCTTTCTTCCAACTCTGACACAAAAACATTCCATTAGACATGCTTCAAAAGCTGCGTCAAAACTCATCATCTAAGCTACTTCAATCAATGATGAAACATTTAAATGTTGCATTATCAATATTATGCGTTGATGTTATCTGAACAGTAGTTTGATATCTTTGAAACTGATGAAAACAATTTGAAAATAAAAAAAAACATCACAGCCATTCAAAAGGAAGACGTCAGACAAATAAGGTCAAAACACATTGTTAGCCAAAGGAAGAAAACATAGAAGTTTAGGAAAGAAAGAAAAAGGAAAATGGTGGACAAAGAAATAGGAAAGAAAGGACTATAGCTTAGAATCAGCTGCAAAAGGAGCTATGCAAGTGTGACATGATCTAAACCAGAATGAATCAACTGTCAAACTATTGACACTGAGATGCATAAAAATAACCTAAAGAGGGTTTGGGCAGTGATAAAAGTTATGATATGCACGAAAATATTTATTTCATATCTCAGATATGCATGAAAATATTTATTTCATATCTCATCCAGTTCATTTTGTAAGCTGAATTTTTGTAAATGTCACCAATAAATTACAAATTTTCTATTCTAGCATTACATCGATCGAGGACACTGGTCCAGTGGTTGCAACTTGATAATAACCAGGAGGTTGCAGGTTCAAGCCTAAGGGCAGCTATTTTGTACAAATTGGCATTGATTAGGCCTGTACCCAATCTAGTCCTCTTAGACCCTATTTTAAACAGGGTGTTATAAACATTGTATGACTCCAAATATTTTGTGTATGTACTTGACAATTTTTTATATTTTAAGAGAAACTGACCTGATATAACTCGTTTATAGGGCAAATCAAAATATTATTCTAGCTGCGACACAGCATGGAGGCCACCTGGCATTTTTTGAAGGGATAACTGCAAAAAGCCTGTGGTAATTTATATTCCTTCATTTTGATTATTTGTTTGCAGTAATTTCTATTTCTCAAGTCCAGATAGCCCAAACTGAAGTGAAATCCCTACTTTTGTGGCTCCTTTCTATAGTTGGGAAGTTTCCTGCATTTCAGCTTTTGTAAGCTCAGTAATTAATCAAGGACATTCATTCATTTGGTGAGAGATTAGTTATAGTTTATTTCGAGGTTGAGTTCCTTTAAACCTTAATAGAATTAACAGGCTAGACCCATACTTGGGTCCACTTTCCAGTTTTTGCTTGAACTTCCCTGTGGCATAATCCCCGGCCTATTCCAAAGTTTTCTTTGAGGAAGACTTGTTGAGCATGCATAGTATGATTCTCCCAAGTGGGTGCACTAGTATTTTAATTTTTAAGTGCAAGAAGTCATAGACATATTCAATCTGCATCCCTTTATGACGCTCATTTTGTTCGACTCTTTTTTTGTCGTAGTTGCCTGATTGTTATATTGTTTATAATGAATGGGTTCTTCTCTCCTTGTAGGTGGGTAAGAGCTGTTGACGAATTCCTCAGTGTTCTGCACCGTAGCCCTTTAATTCACAGAAAAAAAGAGGTGCAGAAGCAATTACGAATGTTTATTTGCTTATATAACAAACCAGGAAAAATATGGATATTTTCCCCACAAAATGAAAAGGCAAAATTATGTATAATAACAAGAAGGGAGAGCATTTTATATCTTTGCCTCACATCTCCATTATGGTTTCTGAAGAACTAGTTCTCTTTTATAGTTAAGATATGTAATTCTCTGACCTGCACTGGCCTCTTGATGACACAAAATTCTAAATTTTGACAAATATATTAAATTAAGTGTGCACATGTAGATAAACACTGCCTTTTTATACAAATGATATGAATGAAGTGTAAAATAATGAAGGATTCGGGAAGTTATATTGCTCGTTATCTTGTTCTGCAGATGCAAATTTCCTCCCCAGGCGGCCCTCTTGAATCTTCAATTGATCAGGCCCCTTATGTAAATTTTAGGGATGACGGGATGGTGACTGCATTGGGCAATGAGCCCACAATTAACATAGAAGATTCACAGAATGAGTGTATTGTTCAAAAGGAAAACGGTGAAGATACAAGCTCAAATACACAAGGGGGTGATCACCTGACAAGAGAAAAACCACATATGACAAGTGAGCTTGAACAGGCCTTGGGACAAGATGTCAAAGAAACAATTGTTCCTGTAAAAAAAGGCGTAGATCAGCTTTGCCGACAGAGTAGGAAATCAATGTGGCTGCTTGCATACATTGCAATAGTAACAACGTGGCCAGTTGTGGGCTCGGCTCTTCTGCTATTCTTCAAGAAAAAGTTCAGAGATGTCTTGCCAGAAATGTTAAAGAGAAGATGAAATTCCATCCTGGTGCAGTATGTTACAATATTACAATTAGCACTGCCATTGGCAGATATAGGCGTATAGGATATACAAAAACTTCCACACAATAATGTTAAAAGCCTCTGTTTGTGAAGAGGATATGGAGGAAATAAGAGGGCCCTAAAGAATGAACAGGAAGAACATTTTGTGCAACATCCAATTAGATGTGCAAGGAGGATTCAACGGTTGGTCTAATGGCTACTGTTAGATGTGCGTGAATGGAAACAACCGAACAAGAGACTGATCCTACCTATCTCATGTTGCTCTCTGTTATTGCTTTTGAGCAGCGAGTGTACTGTGGGATGTAGCACATTGCTTTACTGTATATTTATACTAAAACCATATATATATGTGGCATTATTTTCCATTGCAGCGAGTCCTTGTCCAATTAGATCTTCGTATATGTGGCATTAAAATCAGTCATCAGACTAGTTTTCCTTTCATCAAATATTTCTTGTGCAGAAATAGAAGAGAGAGATCCCTCTCATGAGAGTGAAAAGCAAGAGCAAGCAATAGAAAGGATAGTTTCACGCGCGAACTACTAGACAATGGTGGGATCATTAGTGAAAGAAGGACGGATGACTATCCTATCCTAAAGGATAAAGGAGTAGTAGGAGTCATTTTTCTTTGAGGATCCAGAAAAAATTCGGACAATTATGTCATTCCAAAAAAATCATCTATAGAGGGAAAACCTGTTACGAGTAAGTGCAAAGGAAAGATCACTAGAGATTAGAACATAAAAAAAAAAAAAGGAAGTTGATTTAACATCAGACTCATTTGAATGTACCAGACAACAACGGGGCTTGAGAATTGATGTATATTCAAATCATAGGAGATAGTAATTATTGATATGTTCATATTGGTGACGTTATTTTTATTGTAATTAAAGAAGTAGTACCCAATATACTTCTAGAAAGATCAGAAGTGATCAGATGTTCAAGGCGAGGATCGACCAACTTAGATTAATCATAGTACTCGTGCTTTCTAACTTATAATTGGTTCCTGCATTTTCCTTCTAGGAAAAAAATTTCATTCATTTGCCCCAGCAATACATATTAGTTAGAAAGAAAGAAAAAGAATTTTCCTTTTCAGGGTTTGCGTCGCAATGGTTTTGGGGGGGAAGTTGATGAATTGATGAGCACGAGAACCCTGCGATAGGAGTACCAAGGAAACCATTATGGAAATATGTTGAGTAACAATGATACCGTAGTGGAAATATTTAGAGGTTCATCACTACAATCTTTTTACATTCATAGCCATAGGTACATTACATTGTTTCTCCTTTGAGAGTTTCACACGGTTCATTTCATTTATAATTGACACGCAGTATCACTATTTAATAATAAATTTATAAATTAGAAAGATAAACTTCGCTTGAGTAATTATTAAATGAAATAACAGAATGATTACTATAATATGCGGGATCCACTTACTTATTTATTAAGTTATTATTGAATAATGGCACCACATAACAATAATGACGTGAATAACGATAAAACCATAGTGAAAATATGTTGAGGTTGATCACTACAATCTCTCTACATCCATAGCCATAGGTTCATTACATTGTTTTCTCCTTTGAGAGGTCCGCATGGTTCATCTCAGTTTTCTTTCATTCTATATTGTCCAGATGGTTTGTTTAAGAAAAACATTCTCCTCCAACTATTTAGTGGGCAAGAGAAGGGGATTTTTCATTTACGAGTCAACTCAACTCTTTCATTTCTTTACATTTAACGAAATGTTTTCTCCAATTGCAACTAAACTCGACAAAACCTTAATCTCAATTATTTGGGGTCGGCTACGTGAATATGTAATGTAACTATAATAATAAAATTAAGAAAACCTATAAAAAAATTTTGGGTTAATTGCATTGGAGGCCCCCAAAATATAGGATTTATCTTATTTTAGTCCACAATATTTTAATTGCATTATTTTAGTTCCTAAAATATTAAATACATTTCTGTGTGATCTCTCAAACGATCAGTGTTCAAATTGCTAACGATTTTTTTATCATAAACTTGTTACATAATACCTAAATATGGTAAAAAAATAATTTGAATAACTCTTAACTAAATTTCTACCAAAATTTTAGTCAAAGAACTACCTAAATTATATAATTTTAATAATAAGCTATTTTAATTTTAATCAAGAATTACTCATATTACACATTTTTTGTCAAGAATTACTCAAATTTTAGTCAAGAGTTACCTAAATTTTTTTTGTTCATATTTAGGCATACGTGATAAATTTATGATAAAAAATTAATAATTTGGATATTGTCTGTTAAAATAATGTAAATAAAATATTTCTAAAACTAAATTAATGTAATTAAAATATTAAAAACCACAACAAGGCAAACACCATGCATATTGTGACACCTCCGATGCAATTAACACAAGTTTTTCACTCAAAAGCCACAAAGACGTGGTAAGGCTAAAGACCACTTGACTTGATGGATTCACCAGTCCCGCAACCGCAAATCTCTCACCTCCTTTTGCACCGTTTTCGCCGCTTTCTTCCTAGCAAAGCCAAAAACCACATGATCCATTCCTTTGCAATTTGCACCATCATTCATAAGAAGGCTCTGTCTGCTCTTTCTTACTGGCAAAAACTTAGAAAGTTTTTAGAGCATTCAAGTAATTATTATAAGGAAAGCACTTTGTATAAGGGGAATTGGGTGCAGGGGTGCCCCCCCCCCCCCCCCCCCCCCCCCCCCCCCCCCCCCCCCCCCCCCCCCCCCCCCCCCACAACCCCCACCCCCCCCCCCCCCCCCCCCCCCCCCCCCCCCCCCCCCCCCCCCCCCCCCCCCCCCCCCCCCCCCCCCCCCCCCCCCCCCCCCCCCCCCCCCCCCCCCCCCCCCCCCCCCCCCCCCCCCCCCCCCCCCCCCCCCCCCCCCCCCCCCCCCCCCCCCCCCCCCCCCCCCCCCCCCCCCCCCCCCCCCCCCCCCCCCCCCCCCCCCCCCCCCCCCCCCCCCCCCCCCCCCCCCCCCCCCCCCCCCCCCCCCCCCCCCCCCCCCCCCCCCCCCCCCCCCCCCCCCCCCCCCCCCCCCCCCCCCCCCCCCCCCCCCCCCCCCCCCCCCCCCCCCCCCCCCCCCCCCCCCCCCCCCCCCCCCCCCCCCCCCCCCCCCCCCCCCCCCCCCCNCACACACACACACACACACACTCACTTTTGGGGTTAAAGTGAAAACGATAAATGACGTCTTTTTATTGTTAATATTAATAATAAATTTAATTTTAAAATTTTTTAAATACAAAAATATTAATTAAATTTTTATGATGATAAGTTTAAACTTGATTTTATTGGGGGTTAAAATTAATTTTTTTAGTAACTTTAGTTTTATTGACCTTTTAATTTTATGGCTGAATTAATGGACTCGATCTATTTAAGTTGAAATATTTTGTTTAAACATGAATTTAAATTTTTTGTTTAGACTATTATTGTTCACCTATAAATTAAGGGCCTTATTTGAAGTGAGGTCTTAATTTTTTTTTTTATTAGACTTGTATTTTTATAAGGCTTTTTTGTAGGGTTTAAAATATTTATAAATTTAATTTTTTTACATGAATTATTTATGATATTTAAAATTTGGGACTTTTTTGAAAAATGAGACCGAAAACCCAAGTATTTTTGATAACACTGTTGAGCCGCCCTTAATCGAGTGTCATAGAATCATGATTATCTCTCTTTTCCACCTTTGTTTGATATTGCTCCAAGGCAAACTTCCAAATACCATGATCTACAAGGAGAGTTGAACAAACTGGGGATGAAGTTGCTGTTTGGCCTGGATTTCCGGCTCCATATTAGTGTTCAGACATTTGATCAGAAGTAGTACTGTTTGCAGTTGGGAAAGAAAGCTGCTGAAGGGCACATGCCTTCCTTGTAAGTGTCCGTACAAAATAATTGCAAGTCTCTAATAAAATCTGTTGGATGAAATGGGCGTACCTACATCTCACAAACCCAACTACTTTACTACTTAAAAAAAAATATAACATATTGGACAAAAATGCTGGAGAGGATAAAACAAAGTGTGCTTCCATTAAAAGATTTGTTGCTCGTCGCTATTTGGCTGATCTGAGATCAATGATAAATAAGTGAATTTGCTAGCCCCATACCTGTGGGATGCACACACCCACATACATCACTCTGGTTATTGTCTGGGAAAGGTTAGTGGTATTCGACCTTATCTGCATTTTTGGAGAAGTTGTATGTTTGGGATGATTTTCGCACAAGAAATGAGTTGAGAGGGTCAAAGAGAGTCTAAAGAGTGGTGATGAATTGTTTGAGGGGGTGTTCAACCGACTCCGGTGGATCGCAAGATGCTCCTGCCACACAAAGAAACAAGTTAGAAGGGCGACGAAGTGTTTTTCGACATATTCTCTCCAACGATCAAATTAGTTCTTTGAGAGAGAGGAAGAAGAAAACACTGTATGACTGTTAAGAGATGATTTGACATACCTTTGCAATGTGTTTTTGAGGAATATTTATACCTTTAAAAACTCATCATTATTAGTAGTTTAGGTAGTAGATAGCCTTCAGAGATGGGGCAATGTGCCTCCTATTTTGTATGGAGAATGTCCCGGTATTAATTGCTCGAGTCTCTGAGCAGTTAATACTCTTTCTTCGATGTAGAGACTTTAAATGCTAGGAGCCCAATGTATTTAATGTCCCCTATCCTCGGCTTCACAAGTCACTGTGGATGTCCCATCATGTGAAGATTCATTAAATGTTTGTCTGAAACAGTCGTATGTTTGCAAGAGTAGTTCTGTCTTTTTATCCCTTATTCTGAATCTTACGCCACAACGTCTCAATCCCCCTGGTTGAGTGTTTAGTTTGTCTTGCTATTCTGATTTCATAGTGTAGAGTTCCTTCATAATTCCTAGCCTAATTTATGCTATTCAGCTATCAATCAGTAGCCTATTCAAAAATCAAAGACTCGTGATAAGATCGAATTTTGTGAGTTCCCTCGGGGCCAAGGACACCTGACACTTCCCTCCCAAAGGTATCCTCAGAGCCGAGGGCACACGCCTTGGCATAGAGGAACTTGTCAATCAAAGCATGGGTCTTAGTGTCCAGGACTAGTGGCCTTGTCAGAGACAGGGATGTATCTTAGCGCCTAAGACACGTGTCGTCAATTTAATGCTCTTCCAGAAGTGTCCCATCAGTGTACAATAGGATTTGAAAGAGGTAAGCGACTCAAACCCATGATATATAACTTGGGCAGATGATAAGGTAATCACAACTTTCCAAAAAAAAAACAAAAAATTAAGCACGAAAAAATTTCACTCAACCATGCGTTGGTTGAAACTTGAAATTATGTTACGTGGATGCTACAGCTAAACCAATTGGACATCAACAAAACACACCTGAGGAATTGGGGATGGAGGAGCTGCATCCACGAGAGAAAGTGAG